CAACCTATGGTTGGAGGAGAACCAAGGTTCTACTCAGGGAGACAGTTTCAAAAGTCAAATTTGAAGTGAGTAGTGAGGCTCTAAATAAGAGAATAAGTAAACAAAGTCTGAGCTTAGGAGAAGTATAGGTGGCATGAAACGTAAGGCAGGGACTTGTGACAAATGGCTTAGGAATAATGGGGGGAACCATGAGGGAAGACTCAGTGTTTATTTTTGTGCCCAGCATAAGGATAATTGCACAATTTCAAGGGTTCATGATAGATTCCACAAATAAGTTTGTATTTTAGGGGAGAAGTCTGTGATTTAGTGAGGTTCCTGGTGCCGAGGGGAGAATGACAGAAAGATGAATTCCAGACTCACTGGCTGGGGAAGACTTGGGGCTGGTCGCAACTGGGTATATATGGCCTGCCTCAGCCTGGCACACCTCAGGGATGGAACGGAGCCAAATTTTTAGGTGAAAGACCTTTAGGACCTGCAGTTCAACAGAGCTGAGAAAGGCAGGACTGAACATGTTTCAGCTTTCATCATTTCCCGATGAATCTTTCCAGATAATGTTACTGGCATCCTTGGACCTCTTGCAGCACCTATCAACTGAGTGCAGATAGATTAGACTTCCATGTGGTTTATTATCATACTGGGCACCTAGCATGAGATTTCTGTGGTTGTTCATTCTCTTCCTATGTATGTCCTCTCTCTCCTCAACCAGATCCTGGCCCCATTATGTATTGACAGGAACGATTCCAGCACTCTTGACATAGTAAAAGCCCAATAATGGTTGGCTGTCATTAATGGAACATAGAAGTTTCACCTGTAGAAACTGGATATAAAGCTAAGTTGACTGGAAGCAGTTCTTCTAGAAATTCTATAATGTAAAAATGGATTGGTTGAGGAGGAAAACTGATTCTTTGTTGCACTTTTATTTTATATCAGGCACCGTGACAGGCACTTTGAAACATCATCCCATTTATTCCTCACATCAGCCGTGGGGCAGATTTTCTTTTTTCCTACTTTATAGATAAGGAACAGTCACTCATAGTTTAACTAGCCTGCATGAATTCATACACGGTGTCAATTAGTAAGCGGTGAAGCTGTGATCTGAAGGCAGGACCCAGTGGCTCCAAGGCTGGGAAGCTTTTTCCCTTTACCACTCTGCTTGCCAATAGAAATAACACAGTACTCTGATCAACCAATGAGCTTTAGAAGGTGCCTCCCAGATATTTATGCATCTTCTAAAGAGGGGCACCACAGAGGAGAGAGCAATTAGCAAACTAATGAATCATCTTCTGTTATACAAATAAGCTAATTTAATTTATTTAGGAAGAAGCAGCACAGTGGTCCTGCCTCCGTGTTCCAGTTACACAATTGTGGGCCAGTCACTTAAACGCTTGCAGCCATGGTTTCTGTGTTTATAAAATGGGATTCCTACCTTTGCCAGGGCGACCTCACCAACATATTGGGTTGTTGGAAAAGTCATGATGTATTTTTTCTGTTTTTCATTGCAAAAATGCATCATGACTTTTCGGACAACCCAATATTATCAGGGGCAGCTGAGATAATGTATGTACAGTCACAATGGAAACTTTCAAGAGGTATTCAAATTGAAGGCATCATTATTGACTTTGCCTAAATACCAGAGATTAATAAAACAGCCAGGCTCAACCTAGATTTTAACCAGGAAACACTTTCAATCAAGACTTAAGGCACGGCTTAAGCAAATCAAAATTAGGTCTTTAGAAGCATTTATTCTAATATGTAATTTTAAATGATTTTCTGTGCAGATGGAAACTGATCAGAAGATCAATGGGTGAATCGATGATAAATGGAGAAACCTAAATGTATTAGCAAGTAATCTTTGTTTTTAACTTATTTTTGTTTTTCAAATTTTATATCATCGAATATTCAGAAGTACAGGGACAAACATCCTTTTTTTTTTTTTTAAGTTCTCCCTCTAGAAATTGGAAAAGGAGAAAGAAAGCTTTTTATATTCAAGTCTCCTATTACTGTCAATAGCAGTTAAGTGCATTGATGGGGACATGAAAGCACAAAGGTGCTTCTGTAGTTCATCAGAACGCCCATCTTAAGTATAATTACATTACACAGCTCCACTCAGTCATTAATTTCTTGTTTAGCGACAATGTCCTTCATTTTACATCCTTTGATGATAATTATTTGTAACTATGCCCTTGGATTCTGAAAGCTCGTGTACCATAGCCCTACTGAACAATGGGTATTTCCGGACTACAGCACAACTGGTTTCCCAGAAGAGGTTATCCAGGAAATGGTCTGGAATAGCACTGAAAACTCACAAAAGGTTTCTGAGCTTGAGCTACAACCCAAATAAGGTGTGTGAATATGCATTTGTGTGTGTGTGTGTGTGTGTGTGTGTGTGCATGTGTGCGCGATAAAAAAACTAAAAGCAAATCATTAGGTATAAGGCATAATTTTTTTAACTCTTAATGTCCATGTCAGATTTTAAAGTTTTGTATGTTGCTGAAATTAAGGCACATTAACACATATCATAGACTAATCTGAAAGTGGATATTTTTGAAATATTTTTAGTTCTATGAGTCTTCTTTGTGCAGAAAAACATCTTGTGCTTGTGTATTTATTTATTTGTTTGTTTTTTAGCTGAGCCACCCTGCCACCTGTTGGCAGTTCAGCGGCAGCTCAGCTCGGGCTAGGAATCGAACTGGCGACCCTGTTGCTCAGAGCTCACACTCTTGAGCGAGCTCTTAACCAACTGAGCCACTCGGCCAGCCCTTGTGGATTTATTATTGAGCACCCGTGCATGCCAAGAACTGTTCAGGTGCAGAAAACACAGGTCTGAAGAGAGTCAGTGCCCTACAGGGGCTCACAGGTCAGGGGCAGGGGATAAAATAAGTAAAACCTGATTATCTTCAGGACTGTCAGAGATAGTGGACCATGTTAATGTAAAGACCTTAATATTCCAGTTTGTTTCCCTCACATGCTGATTTGGTTCCTCCTGAAAGCTGGACATTTCCAGGGATGTCCCACAGAACTTTTACTGCTCCCCTTGGAACTTATACTTATGTATCCCTCACTCCTCAATGGAGCTGACAACAACATAGACTGTGCTCTGCATATAAAGATCAACCTCTGTGTCTGGGTCGCCCCACGAGAGGGAACCCCTTCTAGATGCCTCATTGGGAGTCCAGCAAACTCTGGCATTGGGTCCGATAGTTCACGGCAGCTCTGCAGCATGTCATGCCATTCTGTCATCCTTGTCTTTTCTTCCCCACGCCCCTCTCTCATCTTTTGTTCTCGTAGGCTCTTTGGAATGCCACATTTATGTTCATCACATATGGGAAGTATTTTTGGTCAAAACTAAAAACCCTAATGTGTTCCTTGGCAAAATGCTTTGCTAAGCAAGGCTGGCTTCAACTTGAAAGAAAAGCTTTCTCAGTAGGCCACGAAACACAACAAAAATCCCACAAACCACTCTGGCCACACTGTAATTCTTATTCATAAAAGCTAAATATACTTACATGTTGCATGTGTGCATTAAATCAAGCCTCCTTTCCCAGGGCAAGAAGGTGAGTACTGGAGTCATTACAATTTTTATTATCCAGCTACACGTGGTTATAGAAATCCATAGAGACATTTACATTTTCCTATAATATTGGCTTTAGAGTAGGAGCCAGAGTTATTTTCTTAGGAATTAACCCGCTAGCCAGGTGGCACAAAGAGAATACTGTAGAAAACATACCGTGGAGTGCCTATTACGTGCAAGGTGTGTGCTAGGGGCTTTACACACAGCTCTTTCCCTGATACTTACCATCAACCCTAGGAGGCAGGTAGCAGGGTTACTCCACTGACAGAGAGGGGACTGAGGCCTAGAGGTTTAGTATCTTGCCCGGGGTCTAGACTTGAGCCCTTCCATCTGTCCCTCATTGTTGAGATGCCAGACCATTTCTAGGGTTCCCATGTTCCTTGCCTCATCTGTGCGTTTTCCTTTTCCCGTTAATCAGTGGGAACCCTAAATTGGGACTGGTTTGGATATGAGCTGCCTGAGAGAATGCCCAGCACCCAGGGCTGGTCACTCCCAGCCTGAGCACTGGAACAAAAGAGTGGCTGGTGAGGCAGAATTCCTCTCCAGATGTGAAAAGGGAGCAACGCCCAGCGCTTTGAACCCTGACAGCTGTGGATTTAATGCTGCCCCCACTACCACCTGAGAGGCTCTGGGCAAGTTGTTTTTCTTCTCTGAGCCTCAGCTTTCCCAACTGGAATGCGGAGGTCAGTGCTGCCTACCTCTCAGTGCTGCAGTAAGGACTGAAGGGAAGGAACACACAGGAAGGACTAGGGAAATGGCTGGTGATCATCATCCTCATACCTGTGTGTCCCTAGCCATGCAGAGCTGCTGCGTTCACCTTGAATGAGCAGGCTCAGGCCTGCCCCAGGTGCTGAGGTGCTGATCACCTCCAGTACTTGAGTCTGTCTGACCATCTCGACATCTTGCCTAGATCCTGCTTTACCCAACGTCTCCTTTGAGGTGCTGAATCCTACTCCCCGATCCTTCTTATCTCCAGCCCAAGCTCTGGCTGGGGTGTAGGTGAATAAACTGGGCTTCTTCCTGCTGCTACAGCTAGCGGATGGGACACCCACCACACCCACCTTCACCCTAGACCATGCCCAGCCCGAGACCTCTATATCCTGTGAATACTGTTGAATGCTATGTTGAAAGAGCTGGCCTTTGCCACT